CCTACAGTTAAAAATCATTAGATAAGCTTCTAACTACAGGTATATTATTTATACAGTAAGAAAGACTTTTCACTTCCTTTGTATCCTTCACAACAGCCCTGGCCTCTGCATTACACTCTGTCTTCCCTTGCTAATGAAATCTGGTGGTACATTCACAATAACTTTTAGCCTGTATTCAGAGAACAAACTGTAGAAGTGATGGTGGTGAAGAACAAATGGCAGTGAAACAATGAGGAGACCAAGGTATTTCTGCACTGATGAATCATTTCCATAATGGTAACTAATCCCTAAGATGGTTTTTGGCTTTGTGGCAAAGCTCTTAGCCAAGATCAATTTGCTTCTTCATCTAGAGGTATTTAATAATAGACTGAAGTGACTTTCCTTGGTAATTATCTTCATGCAACCTTCATGCCAACCTCAGTTGGTGCAGGGAGCAGCTCCAGTGCCAGCACCATGTGCAGCAGAACAGCTCCAGCAGGATGCACAAGGGGGTTCCCAAACTGGGAATCCCAAAGCAGCAGAGAGACCCTCCAGGAGCCCACAGCTCCCACCACAGCAGCTAAGGAGACCCAGGAGCTGCACCACACAGAGGTACATCTCTGGTAACTGACAGAGCTCCAGGAGTAGGTCAGTAGGCTGAGGAGTGTCAGGGAGTGCAAGGGTTAGACATGTGGTGAGAAACCCCCCCACCCTGGTACAGCCCTTGGATTATTATCCATTCTTGATTTCTCATGCAGGCACCAATGAATTGTGGTAAGAAGTCCAAGGGTGATCCAGAGAGACTTCATGGCCTTGGCATGACTCATTAAGGGATCAGGAGCACAAGCTCCTCTGTCCCTCCAGCTGCAGAGGGGGTACATGTGTCTCAGTGGGGAGGAGAATGTTTGTGCAGGAGGCGGTGAGGGTTCTTGGGAAGAGCTTCAAGCTGGGTTTGAAGGGGGAAAGGGAGATACACTTGGGGGTGGCATGCCAGTGTTAGAGGGATGGTGTGACAGTGAGGTCTTTCCTGCTCCACACTGTACTAAGCACACTGGAAATGTGCACAGCAGGAGGAATAGACATGAGGAGCAAGAAGCCCTGGCCCAGTCCCAGAGCTACATCACTGGCATAAACAAAACCTGGTGGGATGAGTCTGTGTTGGAAGACTGTGACTGGGAGGATAATGAACTCCCACTCAGTTCTCAACTTGGTTGAAACTTGCTGCTCCAGCTGGAGGAACACAAGTCTGGGGGGGCTAATGGGATTCATCCCACTGGAAAAGCTGGCTGATGTTGTCATGGGACCTCTCTCTGCTATTTTTCAGCATGCTTGGGAGTCTGGAGAGGTATCAGTTGACGAGAAGTTGGCAATGTTTGCTCTATTTTGAAGAAGGAAGACTCTGATAATTACAGGCCTGGCAGTTTCACCTCAGTGCCTGGTAAAATTATGGAGAAGGTTATTCTGGGAGTTACTGAAAAACACTTGAGAGACAACACAGTCATTGGCCATAGCCAGCATGGGTCCAGGAGGGGAAAGTCCTGCTTAACCAACTTGATTTCCTTTTATAACTAAGTCATCTATCTAGTAGACCAAGGGAAGTCACTAGATGTGGTTGGTTTGGATTTTAGCAAAGCTTCTGATACTGTCTCTCACAGCATCCTTCTGGAATAATACACCGGGTGAGCAACTGGCTGGTGGGTCAGGCTCAGGGAGTTTCAGTAAAGGGGGTTACATCAGGTTGGTGGGCAGTCACCAGTGGGGTTCCCCAGTGCTCAATTTGACAGCCAATGCTCTTTAATGTTTTTATAAATGACCTGGATGGAGGAATTGAGAGCACATTAAACAAGTTTGCTGATGGTGCTACACCAGGAGGAGCTGTGGACTCCTTTGAGGGTACAGAGGGGCCTTAAAAAGATCTGGGTAGATGAGAGAGCTGGGCAATCCCCAGATGTAAGAAATTCAACAAGAGGAAGGGCAGGATTCTCCACCAGGAAGTAATGGGGTAATCCTGGGATGAGAGACTGCAGAGCAGCCCCATGGAGAGAGATCTGGGAATTTGGGTTGACAATAAGTTGAATATGAGCCAGCAGCGTGTCCTGGCAGCCAAAATGGCCAAGTGTGTCCTGGGGTGCATCAAGCACAGAGTAGCTGGGGACTGACCCACTCTACACTGCACTGGTGAAGCCTCACTTCTGTTCAGTTTTGAGCACCTCAATATAAGAACATACCTCTCTACTTCAAGCCAATTTCTATCAGTTTACTACGGAAAGCACACCTTTCAGAAGGTTACAGTTGCATAAAAATGTGTTGTGCAGGGAGAAATCTGAAGTTCTTAAGTTTTGCAGGTGATATTCTATCAGCCTGATGCTTTAGAGCAGAAATGTAATGGGCAGAAATAAAGGAGAAGGTTCATCCTGCCTGTTTCAAGTCTGTAACTGCACATTTGAAAAAAAAAAAATCAAACTTCACTTTCAGGTACCCGGAGATTCAAAGTTCTGAGACTCTTCTGCTGCCACCATGAACCTCTGAAATGCACTGGCCAGTGATTCCTCACACTGTCACACAGCTGTCCTCTCTAGTTAGAAAAAACATCTGTTTTCTGCCAGCACCCTCAGTGATGTCATTAACTTTGATTTGTGCTGTTAACCCAACTATTTCAAATCTGACAACCCTGGGGGACAAGAAAGGAGTGAAGAGGGGAAGGACAGTAAAATTCCACTAAAACAATTCTTGCCTTTTGACTTCTAGCAAGTTGTGTAACTAAAAGTCTATGTCAAAAGAATGTGCCCAAACTTATACAGCCAGGTGCTCACCAGTTAGGAACTAGTAAAATGTCTGTGGTAACTTCTCATTTGTATCACCACATCCAAGAACAGGATCATGTTTTTATTCCTTCTCCCTCCCTGTGTCCCTGAACTGCAGAGATGCTGCTGCTCTGAGCAGGCATCAGAGCTGCTGTGCTTCCTGCTCAACACCCTTCCAAGTACCACAGGGACTGATCAAACAAAAAGTCACTTTGTGGGGAAGACATAAATGACCTAAGTGAACTGGATTTTTTCCTCGACACTGTCACAGAAGCCTCTGTGAAATGCTGGGCAATTATTTGATCCTAGTTCTCCTATAAACTGCCTGTTTCTCATCCTCTTGATGAGAAATTGAGATTGACAAAAAGCATTAGATACTTCCCACTGCAAATGAAGTCAGTTAAGAGTTATGTTCTGAATGTATTAAATGCAAAATCAAATTCTGGAATGAGAAATGTAGTTACCACAAATTAGAGTCTCTTTTAAAACTCATTTTGTCAATGATCACTAAATGTTTTTCTTCACACTTTTTCAAATGGGGTGTGAAATTATACTATCTCATCTGGGAAGCTTTTTTTTTATCCTTAACCCCAGGCAGTCATGCTAGAATCACAGAGCACAGCTGTCTGCAAGAAGCCACTGACAGCCACCCAAATCAAACCTCTGACACGACTTCCAAATCGCCAGGTTATTTCCTGAGTGCAGTGATATTTGCTCAAGATGCAACAATAGCAAAGGCATAACAATAACTAATAGTCTTCTCCAATTTCATGGGAAAAATCCTAGCAGCTTCCAGACTGGAATGTCCCTAGAGGCCATGCTGCAGTGTGTCATCAACACATTCATGACTGTGCTTTGGCTGCAAGGGCAGGACAAGCCCCTGAATTTGTAGGTAGTGAAGACGCACTGAAGCCAAACTAGGAGTTTACAATTGCATCCCAAATGAACTAGGCAAGTGAACTGTAAATAGTAACTGAACTCTTTTCAACATGCTACCTGGGGACAAACAGCAGAGGAAGCACCAGGTTTCTATCATTAACAGTCTCTAGACTAACTCCCCTCTCTTCATTCAATGTGATTCAGATTCCAATGGCAATTAAATAATGGGAGAGACATTTTTAGTTAAACAGACAGAAGTTAAGCCAGTAAGAAAGAATTCCACAGCTGCAGCTGTTGTCTGGCAATAAATGAATGGCTATGGGATTTACGCCATTTGTTTCATAGTGGATCATTTACCCCAAACAGATTTCTTGGTAATACAACAGCAACACTTACATTCCTTGTAAGAAAACCCTTCAGATATTTAAAACAACTGCGAAAGTTATTCTAATCCTGCTACCTGTTGACAGAACTTTTAGAAAACTACCCACATTTTTAAGTAAAAGGCCCAATTATGCTACACATGAACATGGAAAAAATGGAAATGTTTTTGTATTTGTTACAACAGCAGCTTTAAGGGAAAAAATAAAACTCAACAAACCCCGAATCCCCTCAACTGCTGCATGAACAAGCTTGCCACGGCTGCTGTTCCCACAGGAGCTGAGCCTCTTGGAAAGTGGCAGAACCATGTAATAACAGTGGAAACATGAAGTGAAAACTTTAAATCCTCTCCCATAATCAAAGACAGAGCACAACATGTTCTACCAGGAAGCCAGAGAAAGAGCTGGGAGCTGAAAAGATCCCACACATACTTACTGAGCCCTGGAGACCTCCATCCTCCCGGTCGATGCTGCTCCTGGAGAGCCGCACATCGGGCTTCTGAAACAAAAACAGAACATGTCATTCTGCACCCTGCTTTACTGGGTCGTGCAACCTGGGCTGACAATCACTGTAGAGACAGGAAAGCACTGTGAAGAATGTTCACTGACAAACACAGCTGCCCTTTCATTCCAGTCCCTACAGTGGCGACTCCGCGCCTCGGCAACTGAATTCCCGGGCAGCCCCTCGCCTGCTCCACCCATTCATTCCAGCACACGGGTAAAAACACTTCTTAAAAATATGGAAAGTACCATTTCCCTAACACAACATTGGAAAACCTGCATTTTTAGTCTTCTCAAAGTTGGTGGGGTTTTTTTGTCAGAAACTGTGTTTGCTTCCCAATAGCAGAATTCCCCCCCTGGCCCAGGCTGAGACATGCTGTGCAGGAATTCCCTGCCTGAAGATGGCTTATATGGACTTGGCTCCAAGCCTAAAAATGGGGCCAATAACTGGAGCTCTTTCAGTGTTGCTTTTGGACACAGAAAGCTAGTAAAGACCTCCAGATGCACTGTTCTCCTGGTACCAGTGACATACATGAATTTCTATTGAGTACGTTTTAAGCGAGACACGGGAACTCAGAGCTTGGTGGTTTTAAAAAGCAAAAAATAACCTTGGCCCCACTTTTTGTTGCATAGAAACAAGTCATTTCTCTCATCTGGCCAGAAAATCTAGGTATGTTGTACTTATTACTCAAGAGCAACACTAAGTCCAGGGAAAGAAAAAGGAAGAGCTGATGTGAAACAAAGGGTAAGAGTGATCTGAAGATACAAGTTTGGCAAAATGGAAGTGCTTTTTGAGAGCATTGACTGTGACACACAACAGCAAAGAGGATCTGACTCCTCAGGTCACCATCCTAGGAGGTTTAGTTCTCTTCAGAAAACGGAAAAAATGAACATCAGTGCAAATACAAATTCTTTCATACGTCTGCAGGGACATACACATACAAGGGACACATACAGAATGATAATTATTTATATATATGTTTTAGAGAAATACAGGCATGTAAATATTGATTGTAACTAAACTGACCCCATGAACACACGCACGTTTGGGGAGACAAATATATCCATTTATTCTAAGCCACTCCATATCCCCTTTCTTTTGTCTTTCTAAAAGCACTTAAGATTAATCCCAACTCACATATCCTACTAAATGACCCTAAAAACCCAGCAGGGCAGACAGAACTTGCAAAGATGCACTAATATTGATCTTTCATCATTAAAAATCCTCCAGTTCTGCTCGTTGTCTGTCAGAAGGGCTTCGATTTTGCATTTTCATTAAGTCTTCTGCAGACAGAGGGAGGCACAGCCAGAGACTTTGAGACTTCGCTGCCTCAAAGAACTTGCAGATTAAAACCAGACAAATCATACCAGACAAGGAAATATTTAACCCCATCTTAAATGGCAAACTGAAGCAGACAATAAGCAAGTGATTTCCCAATGTTTCTCCAGGTATTTGTGACAAGTTTCATGATGAGATCTACCACTGACAGATCTCCAGTTTGTTTCCTTTATTATGATGAAGGATTTTTTCTGACTGAAGTTTCATTTGATACATGTACACTGGATACTTCATTAGACTCATAATTAAGTCATGATATTTTTAAGCTAAAGCCTTGTTTATCTAAGCACACAACTAACCACATACCTATTACACTGAGGTTCACAATTTGCCTTCAAGTTCATTTCTCACCAGGGAAGTGCCCAAGGTCTTTGGAAATACTATTTGGAAACTATGCTATCACAGGGGTCTTTAATGCTCTTTTAACATTTTTTTACTCCAGAAAAGAACTCTAAATCAGACATCAAAGATAACAAAATACTGAGAATTTTAAAAGATTCAGAAGCACAAAAAACACACTTGTCCAAATAACAGATTTTTTTCTAATTTTAAAGTAAAGAAGTTAAATTAATAGGCATAATATTCATGTCCTCCCTTCCTTGTCTTCCTAACAAGGTCCCTTTTAGCTTCTAAACTCTCTAAATATCCAGTTCTGCAACCTCACTTCACAGCAACAATTCACCCAAGTCACCACACGCAGTCTAAGAGTAATTTCTGAGACAGGTTGTCAATACATATATTACTAAAATGAGTATTATTAACTTGACAAACACTTCCTTGACTCATTGCAAAAGAATATACCAAGTCCTGTTGCCCACCCCCAGGGAAGTTAAGCCATGGAAGAACCTGATCTGAAAAGGAAGCTATCAAATGCCAAGGGGTAGTGGCAAACCAGAGGGCCCAAAAGCTGCACAAGCCTTTTGCATTTCAGTCATCTGCATATTTACATCTTGTAGAAATAAGGACTGAAAATCTTCAGCTGTACATCAAGGCAAACCATTCCAACTTCTCCAGTTTTCTCCTCCTGCCCCCTCAAAACATGATTAGGAACACAAGGAACAACAAAGAAATAGTCAACACACTTTTGTGTTCAATGACTAAGACACCCAATTATCTTTCTAGTGACTTGACAAATTCTCACAACTCCCATGTTAGCGAATGGTATTCTGATTTCATAATTTGTGTAGCTGTCTCAGAAGACAAACTCATTTTACAGTAAACGTGACATCTAAGATGCATTGCTGCATTTGTAACACAGAGAGATCCTTCTAATGGGTTTAATGCAACATTCTCTACCTTTAAAATAACCCACCTATGAAATCTGTTCTGTACTTCAGATATAATTTTGCAACCCCAAAGCACAACTTTGTCTTCCCATTCCCTAGTATTGCCCTGTACATCCACGGCTGCCCTCCTGAAAACTGCAGACACCTCTGGATGGTTCTGTCCTGGTATGGGGCTACCTGGCTAGATGGGAAACCATCCTTTCTGAGAGGGGCTGGGAACAGGGTGGTGGGTGCTGAGGTGCTCCGTGTGTGTGTTTTTATGATGAATATTTCTGACACTTGTTGGAGCACAACTGTATTGAGGGTGGATTCAACCAGGGAGATAAGTTGGGGGAGGGGAAAACCCTCAAGACAACCACTTGGTTGTAAAGCCCCCAAGCTAAACACAGCTAGAAAAAATGTCTATCTAGAAAGACCCTGCTTCATACTCTTGTGCAGTGCAAGAATGTTTCAGAGAATGCAGCCTTCAGGAAACTGGAGATCTAGGACTTCAGCCTTACCTCAAAAAGTTGTCACTTGTGAGCATATCTTTCAAGCCTTGAAGCCAAGTGGTGTCTGACTGTGACAAGAAATCATCTCCAAATGTGTTCCATACTATGGTGGGACACACTGCAGTGCTTGGGATTTTTTTTCAAACTGCCAACTATGCTAAATTAAAATGCAAGTTTAAGCAAAGTCCTTCCCACTTACCATTATAATCATTATAGATATGTGTTTCAGAAAGGAACGATATTTTATGAAATATTTACATTTAAAGAGAATCAAGACCCTTGAGAAACAAATGGTATTTTTTCTCATAAACAGATTACTATCTGAAATCTTTGGAAATGTCATGAGCACTTTTCAAACAGGATGCATATGTTGACTGGAACAGAATCTACTTTATGCCCAGTATTTCTGGTCACTCACTAATAAAAGGACATGTAAGTCTTGGCATGTCCTGAGAATGTCAAACTGTAATGTCTTGGTGGGATTTTCTCAGGCTAAAAATTAAACTCTTATTTTAGCCACAGTTCACATCAATTATATTTGAACTGCAGTTCTCAGTGTCAAAATAGGACAAAACCACAACTATGTGGGAATTTCAGAAAAAAAGCAAAACCAAGCATGATAAGGAAACTATGCAAGTTATTTCTTCTTAACCTATCACAGGAAAGGACCATAAATTTCTTGGCACAACCCTGCTGTCTGCTGGAGTCACTAAAAGGCATGCACATATATATCTTTATTTTCTATGATTAAAAACAATGTCACACAGCCACGAAGAAAGGTTCAAACTGGAAACTAAACTACAAAAACGATGAAGCAGGTGATTAAGCAGGCCCAAATGAAGACAAAGTGTTTTGCAAGCCATTCAGAGATAGTAACAGTGTCAAAACTTAAGCATAAAAATCACTAACTTCACTATATTGCTGAACTGAAAAGGTCACCTTGAAAAGACACAGAACAACACAAGTTTCTTTCGCACAACTTCTGAGAAGCAAACTAACCAACTACCAGCTCAGCAGGCTCTCTGATGGCATCACCACCACCACTGGTTTCCTAGCTGTGGTCACAGGCAATTCTCCTTTTGGGCCAAACTCCATGCTGAAATACAGAAGGCATAACTCTCTCCTAGAAGCAATTAAAAAACCTCTAACTTCTGTCAAAACTCAGAAATAAAAGCATTCTCCAGGTGCCTTTAAAAATTATTTTAACTCAATGACTTGATTCACATTAATTCTACACATGAGAAGTCAGGGCTGCAGGATTGAACGGATGCATCCTGTGGCCCTAATGGAGTGATTTGATCCTTATGGGATGATTTTCTGTGTATGCAAATGCTGTAAAGAAAGGCCAGGATGGTGCACAGAAGAGCAACTATCACAGCAGGTATCCCAGCCTGCAGGGGCCAAATCATAGCATCACAGAAGCATTAAGGTTGGAAAAGACCTTCAAGATCCTTAAGTCCAACCATCAGGCCCTGTGACCACTAAATCACCTCTCAAAGCACCACATCCACCCATTTTTTGAAAGCCTCCAGGGATGGTGCCTCCACGACCTCCCTCGGCAGCCTGTTCCAAGGCCTCACCACTCTTTCTGGGAAGAAGTTTTTCCTAATATCCAATCTGACCCTGCCTCTGGTGCAACTTGACCCCAATTCCTCTTGTCCTACTGCTGGTCATTAGGAGAAAAGGCCAATCTTTGAGTTACAGTGAGCTGCAAGTGCCAGCAGCAGAGAGGCCACTGTGGAGGTTTTGGGGGTGGAAATACCTATATGATCAAAAAACAACTCTGAAGAAAATGCTGAATGAGAACTTCATTCATTTCTTGTGACTCTGCTTGTTTGCTGAGGTCTGCTGGAAAAGAAGTTCCCCCAAATCAACTCCCTACCAATTCTCACCTCACAATGAATATATTTGGTACAATTTAAAATTAAACACTTCTTTACTCTTCAGCTTTTACACAACAGATTTATTTTAACTGAGGAGTCCCCCTGAAGACAGATCTGTTTGTTTTCCCTTTTTACAGCAGAAGTTCCAAATTCTGGAGGCTGTTAAGGCTGCAGCTTGCAAACAAAATTTCTCTCAAGTATTGACTGGTCACATGTTCTCAAAGGAGCAGTTTCAGGCAAACTGCTTACACAGATAACGGCCTCTCACAAGACTGGCAAATTTCCATTTCAATGCCAGTGCAATTTAACTCTTCTGGGGTGTCTCTTTTAGCAAACAGTCTCAGTGCAGTTTATACGTGTGCTCACATGTTTTGGAGTTATATTTTTCCCCTATTGAAGCAGCAACACATTTCAGATCATGAGCAAGTTGGTGTTACTCTGGGGAAACAAAAACTGTCCTACCAGAAACCCTACTGAGGATTTTTCTTCTAGTTGCAGTGTCTTACATGAAACCATTTTCATTTGTTCCCCTGTGAGTCCAATTCTCAGGAGCAGAAGTGAGAGAGCATAGGAGCCTGAAGACTGTGTAACTAGAGCAGCTTTTGAAAACAGCCCATTTGAACTGAGAACACAACACTGCATGGCTACATAAGTTAAACATTAAAATCTGGCCCTACCCTCTCTATTGTTCTCTGCTCAAAAGAAAAAAAATAACTCTCCTGAAACCTGCCTGTAGCCACACTTCAGGAAAACAACGTTATCAAAATGGAAAGGTTAGTGCAGAAAGGTGTCTCACAGAAAGAGAGGGACAGGACATCAGTTTTGGGAAAGGAAGTTGCTTCTCCCTAAATCACCCGGAGTGAAATGAGGGAAGGCCCTTCTCACCAGAGTGCTTCTCCCTAAATCACCCGGAGTGAAATGAAGGAAGGCCCTTCTCACCAAAGAAATGTCACTAGTCACTCATCAGAGGACAAGGAATGTGTATGTAATATACGGACTGTGTGAATTATGCCTTTCAGTTGGGTCCCCAAGAGTGACTCCTCACAAAGCACTTTCTACCATCTTTATTTCTTCAGGGCTAAACCTAGAAAACTAAACTTCTTTTCCAAGTAACACCCATCTATAAACTGAAGATTCCTCTGACATTCATCCTGCTAGGGGTTCAAACACTCCCTGTGGCTATGGTGAGCTTGGTTACCTCCTGACACTGTATAAATCTGTAACAGGCATTTGAGTGTAAACCCCCTGAGTCTGTATAGTCAAAATATTAGTGTGGATAGAAAAATAACTGTATCCTATAGATTCCAGTTTCCCACTCTGGCCACTTGAGTTCATGCTTACTTCCACTCAAACTTTCTCTGTTTTTTGCATTTTCAACCTTTAAGGCTTTTCATCAGCCATACCCAGCTCTGACAAAGCTGCAGAGTTGCAGGGCTGGCAATAGAGATGGTGTCTCCTTGCAATAAAAACTAACACACACTGAAAACACAGAAATTATTTTCCAAACCCATGCTAAGACTCTATTTCAGATCTAAAGAAAAAACAGCAAGTCCTTCCTCAAGCAGCAATTAGGGGGAAAGTAAACATCCTGATGGCTATCCAGAGGCTGAATCAAATCAGGGTAACAAACACTACAAATATCATCTATTATGCAGAAAAAGCCAGAAAGTTCAGAAAGGTCCAAAAGTTTTCCGCAGAAAGTTCCCACACAATCTACTGCCACCAGCTGAAATCACAAGGCCTCCTTCTCAAGTAAGAATATCAATTCCTGAAAAAGTTCTTGACCATCTTGAAAGTTTTAATGGACAATAGATCAAATTTGACCTCCTGGGTTTGGGAAAGTCCCTGGTACCACTCAAAACTGGAAAAGTTAATGCCTAAATTAGGGCAGAAATTTTCCTTTCCCCTCCCTCTCTCTTCAGCTTGTAATAAATTGGACAAAGCAATCTAGGTCCAGTGGTTTCTCTGCTATCATCCAATGGCAAACCACAAATTCCCAAGTGCACTTAAAAGGAAATGAGCCAAAAGCAAGCTTCAACATCCTTTAATCAAAACTAACATCTGGCACAATCTGGGTCTTGGCTAGAACATGTACCAGACATGAGGGCATCGCTCTGTAGCTCTCAAGAGGCATTAGAGACTTAGCCTACCTTGGTTTTCTTCACAGCCATCAGCTGTTCTCAACAGTTCTGAACACCACACACAACTAAACTGTGGGAGACTAAGACAATTTAATTGGCAAGAAAGAAGGTCTTGGTAAAATTGCCTCCATGCAAGATCTGCTCTGCATTCTACCCACTGGGTTCCTGTAGAATAAAGCATAAACTCTTATTTTCAAGGAACTCAACGTCCTGGCTTAAGATGCTTCAAAAGACTGTTTCAAATTCCATGAGATAACCATGACCAGCAACTTTGGTGTCTAAAATAAAAATAAATTAATTGGTACAAATAAGATTTCCCTGAAGACCAGCTCCAAACAGTGCACAGAACCCTTAGAGAAACCACAGACCATGATCATCATCTGTTTTAAACAGAGAGTGTATTTATTCAAACTTATTTGCTGTAACAAACCTAAGGCATCTGCATTTATACAGCCATGTCTTCTAACTACATATGACATAAAAGGATTCTCCCACACCAAAACATTCCTTGAAATATACTTTAGATCAAACATGTGACTGATATTAGTTCCAATCCACTTGTTATCCCATTATCCACCTGTCCTGGGAGGCTGGCACACTCACAGGCTCCCCAGCAGGAGCCTAAACAGAGTAAAATGCTTCTCCCATCTTCTCCTGCATCTGTCACCATCAGTCTCCAGTAGGAGAAATTTAACACAAAATTTGAATGTTGACAACTGGAAAGCCACACTTGAACTATAAAACTTATACCAGGGGCACTGACAAGGTAACATGGAACTGCAGGGAAATGGCAACAGAAGATCCCATTACCAGTACATCTTTTCTTTCTTCTGGTGATGTTCAGGGCTTTTTCCACACCCCACAGAGTTCTCTCTTAAATGATTTCTTCTTCCTAATGGGTCTCTTTATTCCTCCAGTCCGAGGCTGCTTACAACTCTTACTGCAGTCAGGGTTAAGATGACTGATGGTTATCCCTTTTTTAGTGGCAGAGTATGCACAGATCTATCTCCTTAAGAGCAAACAGGCACTCTCCAGATTGGCACAGAATTATATCCACAACTTCCCACATATAAATACTCCACTGGATAAAATGAGACTGACTAAAAAATTCAGCTGTTGAAGGTATTTATAATACAGGACCCACTTACCAGCTGAACATTTAATTTAGAAACTGTTTCCAAACCTACATCGTGGTAGTGACTCCTACGTTCACAAAATGCTCTCATTTCACAGACGTGATCAGTTTTAGAACACTCAAAGAAAAATGAAAAACCAGAATGATTTAAGCAGCACTATGAATCCAAACCTTACCAGGAACCTTTCCTCTTTCTCCAGCCAGCGTTGATCTTCTTCCATCTCTTGCTGCTGTCGTATCAATCTCTCCTCCATCAGATGTGTGGGTAGAACTTGGCTCATGCCTCGGATGTCCAGGGTGCCCGAGTCCTACAGACCAGAGGAAGTTTATTCAGTTTTGTTAAACAGCTGCAAGGACTTACAGATTATAAAGGAACAAATTTTATACAGTCCAAAAGCAGTCAAGCTGAGTTCCTTCCACTCCTTATAAGCTGAAGCAGACCATAAGAAGAAACTCTTCCCAACTACAATTTATCTGCCTTGCTCCTAATCACTGGCACCAACAAGATTTGAAAAATTCTGTTCTGTTTTTCAGCAATGTTCTCACTTAAGACATTACACTTCATTTATGTTGGACAACATAACCACATTTATCAATTTTATTTTCTTGGTCTTGAGCAATAATGTAACTATCCAGTTGCAAAAGCTGCAAGATACATTTTTTAATCCAAACCAATGTGCTTTTCAGTTTTAGCTGACACTTGCAAAGCATGTCACAAAGACATTTGTAATGATTTTTCAATACATTCTTAGGCATGTCTTAAGCTTACATTACTGAATATCCCATATCCCACTGCTGTCTGGAAATCATTACCAAGTAATGTATAAATTAGCATTCATAAAGAAGCCAAGGGGAGTTTGGTAACAAACTTCACTGAGATTGTTTGTAGGCAACCAGCTTCCCAAGATTTTGGGAAACTTTGGCTGTAACCTCTTATTACAAGCACAACATAGTCAGGCTAAGTTGTTTCTACAGTCAATAATCAAAAGGAACAACTTGGGACTACAACCCTCAACTATACACAGTGTGAGCAACAATAGCATGGCAGCAAGTAGCAGTGGCAGAGGAAAACTGAAGACTTGCACACCTATCTGCTCACCTGGATTTAACAGGTAAGCCTCAGTTATCACTTAAATACTTGTCAGAGGTACAAGAAATGCAGCATTTGTTAGCAAGGAAATGGATTTAAGACAGAAGCTGCATAAAGCACAACTTCGTTGGAGGACAAAATGGAATGAAAAGGTGTAAAATACAAGAGGAAAACAGAAAAAAAATGATGGAAGGTTAAAGGGGGAATTGCTTTGATGTTCCTTGCAGCAGCTCTGTGCAAACATGACAGGCTGAAAAGCACCCAGGAGGAATTTGAAAAGCACTTCAGAGGAACACAACTCAAGAACAGTTTTGCATACCATTTCCGTTTCTCTTCTGTATATCCCTCACATGAAGCATTTTTAAACAGTAATATTGTGTATTTTTACATGAACGTTCCCATCTCTATTCAGTTTCAGCAAAGCCTTCTTTTAACAAAGTATTTGCTATCACTCAGTGAAGGTAATAAGTGGTAATAACTTGATCAAGAATTTGTGTAAAGAACTGACTTTATGCCCAATCTCACATAGGAGGATTTGTTTCAAAAAGAACAGAATCCACGCATAGCTCCCATCCCACTGCAGTAAGGGCAATTTAAAAAACACCAGAGAACCCATTTTCTTACAATAATCTCCAGATGTTCCTAAATAATAATTTTTAAAGTGCCTTTACTATACAGAGCACAGCAACAGATGTGTCTGTTCATGATACCTCCATGTTTGGTTGCCACACTGATATTTCCTGAGGCCGATGGTTCCAGGAATCTGCTTGATCCAAGAGGGAAGCCTGCCCAGGATAAATGCTGCCTGCCATGGCTGGTATTCCATGAGAACCAGGGTAGCCAGACACCTTTAGAGGTTTTTTTTTAAAAAGAGAAGTTATATTAATAAGACCTATGCTTCCACATAATTAATAGACCTCTGCCTTAAGGAAGCAAATGTAACAGTGGGGAAATGATTCAATTTGAGCAGCCACTGAGAGGGAGGAGGGAAAACAACACTAGAAGAAGGAAGGCAAAATATAACACACAAGCTCTTTTTTTAAGTCTTTGAGGATGGCTATCATACCATAAAAATAACTATTTGAGGATGCCTATCAAAATAGCAGCATTAGAAATTATGTGTTAACCTACATAGCCAAGAAGATGCAAGTCCTCTGATGAACAAAAATAAATCTATTGATAGATTAGGAAGAGCTCCCCATGCAGAGCTCACATTCAGGGTAAGAGGAGCCTGTGCACATCACCCCACAGAGCCCTGTAAAAATGTGCCCCCTAGGTTATGTTACAAGCTTCAGTCTTAAGTGACAGCATGTAATTAGTGTGCTTAGCTGCACAGGCTAGGAGATTCTCCACAGGAAAGCGCAGGAAGTTTCCATGAGTCTGAAGTACTAATTAAAATAATGAAAACCTCCCCCTCTCCATGGGAAAAAAAATAAATTCTTGACTGAGACTGCTGTAAATGGCTGTAGCTTTCAGCAAACCCAGGAATGCTTCAAGTACCTTCATGGCCAACTTTTGTTTTAAATTTATTCAGCATTGTTAGAAAGAAAAGCAAAACTTGTGAGTACACAATGTGGTAGATCTAGAGGTGGGGTATCAGCCAACAGAAAATCAGAATGACTCAGAGAAACACCAGGGAGCAGAGGATCAACAAGCCTAAAGAAAGTTCTGGTGGGAGGTGTCACTGATCATAGCAGGGGAGTTGGAACCTGATGATCTTTAAGGTCCCTTCCAACCTTAACCGTTCTATGATTCTATGATATGAAAATATTTGCCATCTGGAGTAAGCCTACCAGGTTCAGCTCAGGGTTTGTTCTGATGTAAACCAAAAACCATTTAACAGAACACAATGAAACTAAAAAGTGAATTAATTCCACCAGCTACAACTGAGTTAATAAACCCCACATTTGAAAAAATACATGCAGAGTGTTATATGCAATACCTGGTAATGATTTGGCTGTACCATATGCTGTGGACTTGGATAAAACCCTTCACTGGATCTTGGACTGGGGTAACCAGGCCTGCTGGGCTGTAAATGTAAAGGAATATTTAGACTCTTCAGAAACAGAAAATAAGTATCAGAAAATCCCTGTTTGGTGAGACAAACGTTTACAGGTGGTGCATCACAAAAGCAATTCTCCTGAAATAAACGTTCTAAAATTACTAGCATTTTTTTTAAGCAACTAAAATTAAACATTCCTTCCTTTTTTCTTGGCAATGAAAGCAGATGGAATTGTTTGCCAGGTATGTCAACAAATAATGCTTGCTCTGTGAATTTTTTGTGCATATTTAATTGCTTACACTAAATTACTTGCTCTGTGTTGCTTAACTCTAGAGAGGACATCAGCTAAGAATATAATTCTCAAATCAAGTTTTCAGGTGCAAATATAGCATTGTTTTTAAGTTCACCAGCTACAGTACTTGCTTCATTATTCCTGTTCCCAGCCCAGGAAAAAAGAACTAGCACTTATTAAAAAGTACAGCTAAACAGCAGCTACCAAGAGTCTTTATTCTACCTCTTCAGGAGATGGGCAACATTTTACACACAAAACCCCAAGACATATAATCACAGGAATACATGAGGGAATCACCAGAAATTCAGACAGCACTACTATATAAAAAACTGCAGGAAAAGGAGCCTGGTTTTCTGCACACATTGAGCAGCTCAGGCTTTTTGACAAAATAGGTGTAGAAATTTCCCACTACTGAAAGAGATAATGTGGGAAAAAACATTTCTCAGAACATGCTTTTATATTGCAAGCAGAATTGTTACTAGGTTTGATATTAACCTTCAAAGGTATATTTGTGGGATTATTTTTTGGTTTGGTTTTTTGGTGGATTTTTTAAATAAGCAACAGTTCTTCTGGGTGTTTCAGGAGGAGGTAAATCAACCAAAGGAAAAAAAAAACAAACCAACCCAAACCTCATCATTCTGCAAATGGGCTCCTTCAATCCTGCTGGCAGTTACAGGCAACCACCACATTAACTGGAGGTAACAGGATTTTATAATTACTTTATGAAAATGTCATTATCAGTCTGCACTAGGGTATTTTCTGTCTTAGGTTTCTGAAATCACTCTAAGATACAAGTAATTTCGTAGTGCACACTAGTATTTGTTAATTATTTGGGAACGTGTAGGAGTTTAAGGCTATAAATCAAATAGGGTTTAAGACCTATAAGGACCTGAAACTTTTATAATGAATTGTTGGAAGAAAAAAGTAGTTGTCACCATTAGAAAATGAGATAAGAACTTAAATATCATAGCAACAAAATTCAGCTTGTTCAAATGTTAACATTACTGCACACAGGTGTTTTTATTTTACCAAAAAATTCTGTAGTTAAGACATATTGACCCCCTCAAAAAAGACATGTAGTGGTAGAAATTATTTTTATCTTAACCCCTCTGTTGTCAAGTTATACATCACACCCAAAGCTCTAATTATGATAATTTGTAATAAGGTGTAGCTCATCTATTACATTAGTAAAATACACTTGATCTACTTGGATTAGCCCCAAAGTTTCAAGATCATCAATCATTCAAAGTTATAATAATTAAGTAGCACATTGTTCCAATTTATGTAGTTTATCTGCTTCTGTAACTTAGAACATTGTTTACACCAAATCCTGCAAGTTAATCTCAGATCACCCAAGAGGTTGATGTACTGTTTGCTGTTTTTAACTGAAATAAAAGCAACAATAAAAGCAAATTATTTCTTGGCTGCCATAAAGCTGTCAAAGCACAAAACCAACCTCAGAAATCAGGCGACAAACTGGCTAAGGGGAAACAAAACAAAAAGAAGTTGCCTTCTTCTGACTGCTAGGGAATGTGTGTAGCAGGACACAGGTAATATTCTAGGCTACAGTGGTGACTGCATAAAATGAAATTCTTCCAAAGAGAGGCTTGATCCTTTGAAGTGCAAAATAACTCCTATGAGAAGCAGGCAAGTCGCTGAGAGGAGAGTGCTCAGCAACTGGTGAGGTTAGACTGCCACAGCTGCAGAGCACATCAGCAACATCCCAACAGGACAGACAGATAATGAGACAAAATTAAGTGTGAGCTAAAACACATAAGGTCCTTGGGAAGCAAACCTCAAATTTTCTGTCCAGAAAAAGAAAATGCAGTTGGTTGATTTCTATTCTCTCACTGATGGGTTATAAATAAACTTCACATGGTCTGAGCGCTCACTAGCTAACATTTCATAGGAGTGCTACAAGAAAGAAAAATAAAGAAAAGGCCAGGAAACCATTTTCTGGCAACTAGGGTAGCCTTTTACAAGTAAATCAACAAGAAACAGACAGTTGGTTAGTGCAGTTATCAGTGTGAATCAGTTCTAATAACAGTTCAAGTCGAGCCGGGTCACTTCAGGCAAGTATTAGCAGATGGTGACAAAACGGGCCAGAACTCTGCTGTTTGAAAGAACCCATCAAAGGACACTGAAGAAATACATGGAATTAAAAGGGTTGTTTGTTTTGTTGTTTTTTTTTAAACACCCATAATTTGCAGTCTTGGCTACCTTGGGAGGAGCTTCATCTGATCCTCCGGAGTCCCAGGATACTGTGACTTGTCTCCTGGATTCCATTCTCATTCGTTCTTCTTGCTGCAGCTTCTCTTCTTCCAGTATTGTGCTAGAAAAATGTATTCCATTTAAGTAAAACTCCAGTTCAGTGTCTAACAAACCTCTCCCCACAGCTCCCAAATTTTACAGACTAATGAATACTTTCAACAAACTGTTTAAGAACTGAAACACAAACTTCTTTTACTTACATTGGTTAGGTTTCTGAAAACCAGCATAAGGAAGAAATACCAGTGTGCTTTTAACAAGAGAAGCAGCACTGAGTTTTTAGAAAGCTGTAGTTCACCTTGCACAGATTTATTTTTTTGCATGTTAACAGTTCTTTTTATGTGTAATTACACAGAGAAATCCTCAGACAATAAATCAAGCACTTACTTGCACAAGAACTTATTTTTCTCTAGAAAATATTCTACTGAACTGCTGCAAAGGCTCAAAACAAACTGAAAATGTTCTTTACTGAAACTCAACAGAGCTTCAGATCACAGGGATTTGGTTTTCTTTTCTAACAAAGCAGTCAAAGAACACTTGAAATGCTGTATCTTCAGCTCTTACATTTCAGCCTAATCAGGAACACATTCAGCAAACTAATTCAGCAAAACAGAAATATCTGACAGTATTCACTCAGCTTCTAAACATTCAGGTCAAAAGGCTGCATTTTCAACAAAGTACAAGACAGTAGTAAAACTAGTTTGCTACTTACCACTGTTCTGACTATTAAAAAGACTGTTTGAAGTTCAGTGTGATACTGCTGCCCCCACAGCAGCCTCCTCCCAGTTCTGCTATGTGGATTATTAATGTTGGATATTTGCCATTTGAAAAATATTCAGAATAAAGCTTTGAAACAGGGAGCTGCAAATTCTTTGGAGCTGCATGTAACACAGATAGTCTGGAGATGTGAGCAGGGCAGATTATTTATATATCACTATTCCCAGAGTAAAGATAATCCTGTAGAGGAGCTATTCCAGCTTCTTTATCACTCAAGAGTTTCCAGAAACAAAACTAGGTTCTGAGTTTGTAATCTCCTATTCAGTCTGCTAAATAACCACCCAGAATTACTCATGCAGGGGATGAGATCAACTACAGCAATCTATTCTAATCTTGGAACTTTAATGCTTGTTTCAAGAATAAATTCCTGCTTGGTTGGAGACAAGAACTTCGCTTTTCCTTACTCAGACAAAAAAAATGTATGCCACTTCTAAAAAGCAGAGAAGTCAACTCGTCTCACTGCAGCTAACCCAAGTTTATAAGTATGGCTGCAATTTTAATCCATCATTGCTGAAGTAACACAAGAATGTAGAATAAAAACAAAATCAGACAAGTTATTTGCAAAAGTCATCCTGATACAACCGCCACGGAAACACAGCTAGAGCCCAACAGAGGGAATTAAAGAGAAAATATTTCTATTTTACCTCTTCAGAACAAGGACAATGCAGTATTTCCTTCTTGAATCCACGAAGAACTAGCAAAGAACCACAGCTTTAAAGCCTCAGATATTCAGCATGCATTCATAAGTAGCATGAGAAATCAGCCAACATGAGTCCATAGCCATGAACCATGATTATAACCTTTCAAGAAACATCTCAAGATTTACAAAAACCAAACAAGACAACACAAAAACTCCACCCAGCCTCTGCATTAATAAAATATATATTTTTGATAAAGCTGTTGATACAGCAGTTGCTCCAATCTGAGCAAAAGGAATGAGACAGGAGTCAGCTAAAAGCAGCTGACTAAATTTAGAGATGGCTTATCGACAGTTTGGGGCCATCAGTAGGATTTGTCACAGGATGCTCCTCCGTTCTCCAGAAAAAAGGAACAGAACACCAACACCTATCTGCCTCGCTGTCAAAGCCATTTTACCTGTGGTGTCACTGTATTTAACACAACACCATTAACTTCAATTACCAGAAATGACAAATTTCTACTGAAACAACTTGTTTTTCGTAACACAGGCTCAGCTTTTTGCCCTGCAACTCTGAATTCATCCCACCCTGCTCTTCAGTTGCCTGTGTCTTCAGAAGGTCTTTTCCCCAGGGACCACTAAGCACCCTGTGGTCAAAGGCTGATCAGCTGCAGCAGAATTTGTACTTGGATGCCCTTGAGTACTTACTGCTGCCAGGAATATAAAACAGAAATGCCTCAGAGAAGCATTACTTGAAAAAAAACCAGAAAAAAATAGAAATGAGTCACAGAAACATCTTTGTACAAAGGGAAGACCAATCAATCCATAGACAGACCACAAGCATGCCAAGAGATATTTTTGACCTTGTCCCAGTGCAGCTGCTCAAGAGCTCTGAACAGTTTATTAGAATTTGCAGAGGGTCAGGGAAGTCAGAACTAAGCATATTTTCCCAAACTGTGCTTATTTTTAGCAGCAAGCAGAGAAATACTTCTATTCATATGATTTCCCCAGCAAATCTTGAGGTGGCACTGGCAAAATTCACTCATCTTCTTGGCTAGGTTAAGTCTGAGGAGCAATCTCCACTATTAACAGTTTGCAACATTGATAAACTCCTCTAATTTCTGCAGAATCTTTTAGCTGAAATAAGCTTGTGACATTGAAAAGGAAACATACTGGGTGCTTGGGTGTAGGAGGATCTGAAATACTAAAATGTATCCTTCCACTTCAAAAGGCACACAAAAATACCAGCGTGTGCTGCTGAGGTGGTGTGGGAACCTACAGGAATCACTGACCCTGAAGAAGCAGCTTCTCTTTTTCTCTCTGTGGTCCCTGGCCACCAGAAATGCAAAGCTCAAAGCAGATGAACATATTTTCCCATATTGCCCTAATTTAGAAGCACTTTCAGATGGATTATAGATCGTTCTTAGTGGTCACTGTCAAACAGCAAAAGGCTAATGAGGCATTTGCAGCCCCCCCGATGTATTTTAAGTACCTGTTAAAATACAGTTTTTGGCAGGATGCCACAAAGCAAGAAAGGAGAGGACTCAAACTGCCCCTCCATTTATCAGTTTTGTTCCTTTTATTTGTAAGAAGCATTTAAGGACCTACATCAAATGCAGTCACAGAAAGACTCAGGTCCACTTCTCCTCAGTTAATTATCTCACTGTTGTCATAAAAGATACTTTAAAAGCATTAATAGTTTGGGGTTTCCTTCCCCCAACCCCCATTATTTTTAGAGCTGTATTTAATGTGACCTGCAGCGTTAGGATGCTGGGAGGGTCATCCAGTCTTCATTAGCGACCAACAGAGAAGCACACAGACCCCACATCAGTAATGCAACTGCTGCTTTTTTTCCTACTATTAGGGGAAATGATGGGTACTTCAAACAAAATTAATTCAATTTGCAGTGAAAATGCCATGCAATTACAGCAACATGAAAGCTCAAAAAGCAAAATCCTACCTAACCTCCAATGCAAAAAACCCCCAGTTTTAACAGAATTGCCAACCAAAGGGACACTCAGGGCAACATGACTAGCAAGCACAAGCCTGGGAGCTAACTTACATACTAGTGCTACCTTAGCAATACACCCTTGCAGCTCATTGAACACAGCAAAGAATAAATTGTTTAATAATATACACATATATGAGATAGTGTCTGGTTCTAGTGAGTGTACAGTTATAGCAGAGTATGTGTATGGTTACAGTAAGTGCCTGCAACTCACTCTGAAGAGAAATGCTGTAAAAGTGATATTCATAGAATCACAGAATGGTTTGGGTTGGAAAAGCCCTTAAAGATCATCCAGTTCCAACCCCACTGCCATGAGCAGGGACACCTCCCACCAGCCCAGGTTGCTCCAAGCCCCATCCAACTTGCCCTTCAACACTTCCAGGGTTGGGGCAGCCACAGCTTCCCTGGGCAATATCACATGATTCCAGTACATTGAACATTCTGCCAAAGGCTTTTTATATTATTTACCATGTAGTGCCAGACTAAAAGCCTCATCTACACAAAATCAGCAAGGCAACACATGCTTTCTGATTAAACCACCGTAGATTCTAATTACAGCCCAGACAGTGAGAGAATCACAGAAGTGACAGGACAGCACTTCACTTTCCTGACCTCATCTCACTTTTACTGTCCCCCTCAACTGAAAAACCTAGAATGTGAGGAGGAATTAAATTTGGAAATCCTCAATCCACCCATTTGTTTCTGTGTCTGCTGTGAAGATTAAGTCACCCCTATCCACTCTGGACAGACTAAATGCTGTAAAATACCAGGCTACTACTACCCTAGTAACACTATATAAACTTTACAGTAATCAGCATCTTTGCTTTGCACAATCAGCTGCATATAAAGCTTGTGCAAAGCAGATGTTACTACGAAATGGAAAAAGCATCAAAAAACCAAATAGAGAACACATGAAATCCTTGTGCTTCCATCAGTGCTATTTCAGATGCTGAAAATAAGCTTTTTTTTCCCCAAAGCCATGGACTTCTCATTAAAACAGAGAGGAATGTGGTGGTGCTGTATCACTGCCTTCAAGCAAAAACCTAGTCTGCTCTCAGCTTGAAAAAGACTACTCTGGAAAGGATCCAGAATGAGCAGCAGCAACGCCACCCAGAAAAGGCCACCAGGGAAATGGCTTGTTTTTGCAAATGCATGGGAATTTGAGTTTTGAAATACAATCTTTCCAAGCTGCCTGAGACTGCCTCATCACAAGGGGATTAGCAACTTCTCCAGCAAGAGGCTGACTGTCTGTGAGCAGGGCAAAGAAGCCCTTAGGATGACTCTGCTGCTTAACTTCCAGGAGATGGAGGTCACCAGTTTGCAGAGGCACAAAACTCTCTGCTTTGGTGAGAAGAGAGTGAAAATTGTGTTTTAGGCTTGCTGTGGACCCAGGAGAAAGCCTGTCCTCTAAGCAAGGCTTCAAATCTCCTGGCATGACTAGAGGAGGAAAAAAACACCTCTTCAGGGCATTTATCTTCTAGAAATAGAGCATAATTTAGGCTGGGACTCCTGGAGGTCCTAAGTCCAATCTCCTGGTAAAGCTGGGCTCTACGCACAGCGAGGTCAGGTTGCTCAGAGCCTTTTCCAGTCAAGGTTTGAAAGTCTCCCAGCATGGAAACTCCAGAGGCTTCCTGAGTCACCTGTCTCAGAGCTCATCCACACACACTAGGAAACATCTTCATGTATAACTACTGAGAACTTGTCTTGCTCCACGTCATGAGGGTTGGTTCTCACCCCCTGGCTGAGCATTTCTGAGGAGAGCCACACCCTTGGGTGCTGGTCTGTCCTGTTGATTTGGTGATACCCTTCCACATCTTTCACTTTTCCCCCCTCTCTCCTTCCAGACTCATGCTGTTCTAAGTGTGACAGCTGTCACTCATTCTGAGTACATCTTACATTTATTTCACCCTCAACACAATTACTTTTACTCTGGGTTTTCCCTTGCTGGTGGGATACCCCATCCCTGCTTGGGTTTAGACACCCCAGCCATCCTCCTAGTCACATATTTTCAGGGCTTTATTCCCCTCCGTGCCACTCATCTGCAAATTATCAGTGCAATCTGACTGTGAATTAAAAAGCACCCTATTCTTCCAGAGGCAAAAAAAGAAATCCTGAATCACCAATTTTCATCTATTACCCAAATCATACAACCCTGTCATATCTTTTCCTTGCAGTCCCTACCAAGCTTTACCCTAACTTTGCAGTTAACCCCACAGTAAATAGCATAAGTTCTTTGTGAGAAGGGCTATATGTTCCTTTAGCTTTGTACATCATTAGTCTACACAAGAGAACTCCTAGAGTCAAAGAGGGTTGATCCATACGAGATTTTAAGAAATAAGAGAAAACAAAAGTAGCTAAATTATCCATATAGCAACTCTGAAACAGCATCATCATTATATTAAAACAGTCCCTTTATTAACCATGTATGAATTATCTTGTACCATGAACATCCAGTGACAGCACAAAATTGTACTATGAAAATAAAACATGCCATAAAAACAACTTTGAAAAATGATGTAAAACTGAAGAATTTGGCAATGAATATAACAAACCCAAGAGTGGATTTAGAGTGCACAATACCTGTTTGAAGCTTATATTGACTTAGGCAAAATAGATACTGTGCACTCAAGAGATCCCAAAGGTGGTCACAAATATCAAATTTGTCTACATAATATCTCAGTTTAAATAATTTATATCAATTTATATCACTTCCATTTTGTGGCTGGTGAAAGGGAAATATGGACACTAGAAGGAATTACAGCAGAATAAAATAGGGTGTGAATTTAGACTGGTCTCAAAAGTGTGTTATTTCAATTTTTTTTTTTACATTTTCAATTATTTTTTTAGTTTCAACTATTTTTTCCAAGATAAACATAAGGTGGTCTATGTCCTGGTTTATAAAGGAATTCCTAGTTAGTGATGCTGCATTTACTGCAGGCTCCACAACTGCACGGACACATCTGCCAGAGGGTAACTGGGATGCTGCATGTCAGGAAAATCATTTTCATCAGTGCTCACCTGATGGATCCTTTATTTAAAAACATGTACATTCCTACTCCGAAATTCATTATCCACCCCTCCCCAAGGGTTGTAGCATGTACAACAAGAATTATAAACAAATTGCTAGTAAAATGAGGCCTTAAGCAACCTGATCTAGTGGGAGGTGTCCCTGCCCATGCGGGAGGGTTGGAACTGGATGATCTTTAAGGTCCCTTCCAACCCAAACCATTCTATGATTCTATGAAAATCTGAAGTTTTCCTTGGGACAGAAAGGTGATTCATATTTCCAGTTGTTTGAACTTATTTCCTAGTCTAATTTTCTCCAACAGATGAGGTCCAGATTGCCAAGAGTACCAACAACCTGGCCTTCTAACACCCTGAGTCTTCTCCATGGAAAGAAAATACCGTAACAGAAAATACAATGAAAAGGAAAAAAAACGTCTGAAGAAGGAAACAACCTTTCAGAAGTATAACCCTACCTGAGTTGTGCTTTAAGTTCAGTAAACCTGGGTCGTCTACTAGGGTCGTAGGCCCAGCACTTGGTCATAAGGCTGTAGAGGGTGGGAGGGCAGTTGGGAGGCATCGGGAGCCGCTCACCGTTCTCGATGCGCCCGATCACGTCATTGTTCTTCACCCCCTGGAAGGGCTTTACCCCATGCATTAGGATCTCCCACATACACACACCTGAGAAACACACACACAAAACAACAGTCCCCCGTGTCAGCAAACAATAGAACCTGTTAAAAAAAGCAACAAAGCCTCATTTCACACAGCCAGACAATGCCTTTTCTTCTGAAATGCAGAGCTTGGGCTGGATTCTGACTTACCAGCTGGCAGCAGAGAGAACTGAGGTGCCCCAGGGAGAACTGAGGTGCAGCAGAGGGGACTGAGGTGCAGCAGGATTGCACACACAGTATCAACCTGAACTATGAATGAGGAAGCATGATGACCCTGGGCTGGCTCCCAGCAGCCTGGCTTCACAGTCAGCTACCTTCTACCTTCTGTATATCACAGGGGTTGCTCATATTCAAATCTCCTTTTTTTTCTTTTGTGAGGCAGAATGAGCTGTGCTCTCTTTTCCCTTTGACTAGTTCCAACCAGCTTGTTCTGACACGTACAGGGTATTTTCACTCTGAGGGTGTTTGAACGCTGGCACTGATCCCATTTTTTTGGGGCTGAAACTACGTAATGAAAAACAGTTTCTGTTGAAACTGTGCTAAAAGCACCAAGGGAACAATGGTCTGCCAGTTTAGGATTGGCCTGAATGCTCCACAGATTTCATTTTTCGAACTCTGCCTGTAAAAGAGTTTTCCACAAACTATTATAAACCTGCTCAAATTCATGTACCCTTCACTTAAAAACATTCAAGTTTTATTTTGTGAAGAGGGCAAACCCTTACATGCCTGTCCAGTTCTACTTCAAGTCTCATAATCTTTGTTCCTTTACACAGCCCATCTTTGTTCTATCTGTCCAGGCAGTTTGGACCAGTTTGAGGATAGATGACCAGATTTGTAGAAACACATATTTATGAAAAAAGTTCAAGGCTTTAGGACATTTCCATTTACCCTTACTTTTTCTCTCAACTTTTGGTCATATTTCGTAACCTAGCATGAGCTATAAAAGACAAATTAAGTGGGAATTTAGCTTTAAAAACTTGGAAACAGAAACATAATGTAGGCTGACCTATGCATTAAGCAGGGAAGCAGGCATATCACCTTAAAAGTAAAAAATAAATAAAATAGAAACAGCAAACACCAATGGTGTAACAAAAAGAAATCAAAGGGAAAAAGCAGCAGTAAAAAAATAGTCTGTTAGGACTATGATTTAATTTCCTTGTACCCTCATTTCTGCCAGCTTCTTACTAGAGATGAAAAGCCACAATGAAACACATCTCAAGGAAATAAAAATACAGAGATGGAAAATGCGTTGGAAGAAACTGTATTTTCAGAATGTACAGTAAAACCAGTGCCAAATACGTGGAAATTACTCCTTTTCAGTAGTTAAAATGAAACACTGAACTTCTCCAAAAGAACACTGAGGAACCCCCACCACTTGGGATTCACTTACCAAACATCCACACATCACTAGCTGAGGTAAACCGTCGGAAGTTGATTGACTCTGGAGCCATCCATTTGATAGGCAACTTTCCTTTGGAAGCTACAGGGAAAGCAAGACAAGGCACAATTATAAACAAACAGATCTTGTTCTCAGTGAAATAATTCTCCCCCTGTACTCAGCCCTCGTGAGGCTGCATCTTGAGTCCTGTGTCCAGTTCTGGGCCCCTCACTGCAAGAAGAATCTTGAGGTGCTGGAGCAGGTCCAGAGGAGAGCAACAAGGCTGGTGAAGGGACTAGAGGGAAAGTCTTATAGGTAGAGGCTGAGGGAGCTGGGGTTGTTTAGCCTGGAGGAGACTCAGGGGGGACCTTCTCACTCTCTTCAGCTACCTGAAGGGAGGTTGTGGTCAGGTGGGCACTGGGCTCTTTTTCCAGGCAACAAGCAACAAGACAAGAGGGCCTGGCCTGAAGCTGCTCCAAGGGGAGGTTTAGGTTGGATATTAGGAAGCTCTTCCTCATGGAAAGGGTGATCAGACATTGGGATGGACTGCCCAGGGAAGTAGTGGAGGCACCATCTCTAGAGGTGTTAAAGGAAAGGCTGGATGTGGCACTTAGTGCCGTGGTCTGGCTGATGTGGTGGTGTTAGGTCATAGGCTGGACTTGATGGTCTCAGAGGTCTTTTCCAGCCTCAATAATTCTGTGATTCCATGACAATTCAGAGGCAAAACCCATCTCCAGTGAAGCACTTCAGATCTTGTACAAGAGATTCCTGCAGCCTAAATATTCAGACTGTAGCTCACAGCGGTGTGAGACAAATGACAGTAGGAAACATAATGGAGTGTGTAAAGGGGCAGATGAAGGGTATTTTAAAATATATGACTGAAACTACAAACATATTAAAGATTTCTTTCCTGTGAGGGTGACAAAGCCCTGGGACAGGATGCCCAGAGAGGTTGTGGAGTGTCCTGGTTTGAGCCAGGATGAAGCCAATTTTTCTTTTTACTGATTTTTTTTTTTCCTTCAGTA